GGCCGCCCCCCCGCCGCAGCAGCTTTGCTCTGCCCTTTACAATGCAGGACCCGGGTAAGTGGGCCGTCCGTCCCCAGCTGCACCGGGACAGGACTCGCCCCAACCGGCAAGCCTCGCTTTTCTTTGCACTCGCAAAATCAATGTGTTGACAGCTAGCTCATCCCCTCCCCTCCCGAAAACTTATTAGCTATTCAGCCTCTGCGAGCCCTCGAAGCCCTCTTTTGTCCTAGCAGGACTCGGGACCCATCATTAGCGCTTATTACGCTGAGCAGTTTGACAGCCTCATAGACCGCTTCCAAGACTTTTCCATTCATTGCTGCCCAGGGCTGCCCTGCCTCTGAAAAGAAACGGAAATATTCAAAGTTTTCCTCCCCCAGCTGAATAGAGAAAAAGCTGTTTCTCCTCTCCTCCCTCCCCATTCACCTTACTTTTGATACAATATTTTCTTCTTTGTGGCGCTAAAGAGAGAAGAGGTCAAAGCAGACTTTTAGCGAGCTTTTCTCTCGCGTTTTGTTTAATGTAAATACAGTTTCATTTTTTTAAAAAGCAAAGTGGGAGGAAAATATATTAAGTGCCTGGTGCTGATTTTTGAGACGAGAATGTCAGGGCATCTCGTGCCTGTAAGAGATTCTCGCCTTGATGGTTCTTAGAAGGATAACAACATCAACACGCAGGAAGGCTGCGAATTGAGGGGAACTAAAGTGCAGTACAGCCTTTGTAGCAAAATATAAGACGATCGGTGTAACATTGTATCTTTGTATGCACATTACAACGCTAAAATCTCTCTTCCGCACACACACACTTATGATGATCTTCTAAACGAATCTGTGTATGAACGTCGATGATCCATATGGCTCTATATATTATAGAACAGTTGATATGAATCTGTATACTGTGAAGATATAATAGGGTGATCAATGATTTTATATTTAGCTATTGTGCATAATTAAGGTCGCCAAATGTTTAGTTTCTCTCATCCCTCAGAATTCTCTGTATACTGATGTAATTTTTTAAGACCCACACATCTATGGTCTGTCCATCCTATTGAATTCCCATAGTATCCCTTTCTGTATATTAATATAGATAATTATACAGTTATATATACCAGAAGGACATAAAAATGAGAAAATCCCAGCTAGCTACCTACATAAGACGAAGGGGGAAAAGACAAAGAAATTCCTAAAAACGGACTGTGTTTATATGTAATATTAAAAAAAAAAAACAACGAGTACTCGTAGCATTTACAGACTAACAAAAATTATATATGGTATCATGAGATTTCATGGGCAAAACCCACTTACTCAGACTTCCTCCACTCATCTGAGAAAGTAGGTTTTATATAGTGTCCAAGGTGCTACAGGACTTCTCCTTGTTTTTAAAGTTACAGACTAATACGACTACCCCACTGAGATAGTTTACATAGTTGTCTAAGAAATCTCAAAACCTTCGATATGTTAACAGAGATGTAGAATATCTAAATATAGAGCCGTATTCATGTATTTCTCGCTATCTAGTAAAACAGACGATCGATCGATCGAAACAGAACAAAGACAAGGTTCGATTTCGTTCCTATTCTGTACAAGTAAATGTCAAAACTCTCACAAGTTTCAGCGGGTACTTGGAAGGCGATGAAATATTTTACTACATTCTAGCAGATTTACTTCTAGCTGGGAAGAAAATCTTTATGTTCGAAAGAGCTGTCGGTCAAGAAAAGTCAGAGCTTAAGGCCTAACACAAACAAACAAAACAAAAAGCCACACTAACGCTGGATGGATGTGCTTCGATCACAGGCCAAATCGCTCCCTTTAAACACGCTTGTAAATCACGTTATCCTTTTTAATCTGGACAACGTGTTCGGGTTTAGAGAGATGTGTGTTGTGAGGTTAAAATTACATAGTTAAACACAAAACTTCTTTTCGTCAAACAAAATGACAATTGGATTTTGAAAAAAGGTATCCAGTCATACATTCTCAGCCTCTTTTTTTAACATAGAATTAGGTGATTGCATTGCTCACCACGGGATTTTAATTAGGAATGATTACTTTAAAAGGTAGCAAGCCTGGTAATACAGCAAAGCCAATATATTAATCCGAGTAACTTTCTATTTGTAGCTATCATCTTTGATCGGACTCAATGGATCTGCTGCTTTGTTGGGAAAACACCACTTCGGATGTCTGCTTTTTAAAGTGTCTGCTGATCGCATTTTTAAGGGAACCTGAAAGCGACTTAAATTGGCCATGTTCTCAAATGAAACTAGATTCTCTGAGTGGGTTTTTATTTACAGGAACATATCCATAATGTCTATTTCTCTCCCACAGTTCTGTTTGTTTCTCATGCTATTAAAATGTGTTTCCAAGTGGACTTAGAATTTAGTTAGGAAAAAAAATCTGTGTATTCGGTCCATCACGGGAAGAAATACGGAGAGTCCAGTTGCCGATGTTTTACCGATTGAAACACTAACTTAGAAGCCGCGTAAAAGCGGACCGCTAGATGGGAATCTGCCTTCTGCAATTGGGGAGCAAATAATAAGTGTCTCTATACATAGAATTTAATGACAGCGGCTCCCTTCGCCACCCCCCATCCTTTCCCTGTTGACATGGGTGTCTGATTTTAATGTTCGGTGTCAGGATTCCTTCAGTCTCCCCTTGGCTCTCACCGCGCACAACTCTTCTCCTGCTAAAACAAGCGCAGCAATCCGCTTATTCGGGAAGGCAAGTCTCCGAGGCCAGGGAGGCAAATGAAAGAAGAGCGAGCGGACGAGGGAAAAAAAAGCACAGCTCAAGCGATTTAAAGATCAGTGTCAAATGGTATCATATAAAATCCTTTTGCTAGGCAAAAGCTTAGCCCGTTCTTCGGCTGGCGTGAGCTTTCTCAGAGCAAAACCAGTCGGTGAAAAAAAGGCAGACAATGAATGCAGCCCCAGTATGACCCCCCCTTCCCTTGATCTTTTTCAGTTATAATGATGCTAGGGAGGGTTATTTAATGTATGAGCCACTATTTTATTTACCAGGGACAGAAGGGAGCTGGATCTGATGTTACGCGGAAGGGGTATTTATATCCCCGCTTCCGAATTCATCGCGAAATCTCGGCCATTCGCCGCAAGACACACGCACGCAGCGCCACTTGGCTCCCCGCCTAGCACGCAGCTTTGTGCGCGCTCGGCTCCTTTCCTTCACACTGGACTGACTACAGCCTGTATCCTCCCAGAGCCAGCATCTTTTCCCTGTGCCGGCGCGGAGCGATCCAGTTCTCCGTACGGTGCAGGCTCCGGATCCGCCCCGCTTTGATTCCTTGAGCGCCCGTGACATCGCTTTGCGCGGCGAGGGATCGCCCTTCTGTCTAACCAACCCTGCGCGGGGAAGTCACGGGCACTCCACAGCGCGGCCTCGCCCAGCTCTCTCTTTGTGCCGCAAATGGGGAATGGCTAATTATTTCGGCACCGGGCAAGTCCACGGTGAGATTTCAGTGGAATCCGAGAACCGTCCACTTAACCCCCCTGGGCTCTGTGCATTGGCCCCGACCGTAAGAATTTTAAAACAGACCCTGTAAGTAAGAAAGGTTGCTTACCAAATATTTTATTATTGTTTTAGGCTGCTTCATACAGTATCGATACTGCACATGCTCTACAAGTCACCTGTGCACATAGACAACAAGCCAAAATAAAATAATAATAATAAAATAATAATAGAAAAACCTACCATAGCAATCCCTTAAATAAGTAAATAAACATTATATATATATATAAAACCCTTTAAAGTAAAGCGAAAAAGGAAAAAAAGAAAATCATCATCATAACAGCGTCTTTTCAACATGAAATACCCACGCGGGATACAGGGCAGGCGCTCACACATTTTGCAACTTGGCATTTTTTGTTTTTGAGGCATCGTTTCAGCAGATCCTTTTAAATAAAGGCGACACACATTTCTGTGAACAGAGTCTCCTACGGGGCTAAGACGGAACGCGCTCGCTGTTTACACGGGAAGGGCGTGCTCATAGGTCATGGCGCCCTGGCAATTTGGCAGCCTGGGGTAGGCTCCGGGTGGGCAGGCGAGCCGGGGTGTTCTGGAGGCAGGCAGGCACTGTGTTTAGCTCGATCTCTCTCCCCCTGGTTGGTCATGGCTGTAGTGTCAGATGTCACATTCACTGTCGCTAGATGTGATGGAAATGGCAGAGGTGGCCGCTTTGCTGGACAGGCTGGCTGCGGGGCTGGAGGCCGTCCCCAGCGGCTCCCCTGCGCTCTCCTCCTCGGCCTGCAGCGAGCGCACCGAGCCTTGGGATAGGACCTGCTGCTGTAGCCTGCAAGAAACCGGGAGACACACAATCACAGGGGGTATTCCTCGCCCCAGTCACCTAGTCCGGCCAACAGCTCCTCCACCCCAGTCACCTCTCCCAGCCAACAGCTCCTCCAACCAAGTCACCTCTCACAGCCAACAGCTCCTGCACGTCAGTTACCTATCCCAGTCAACAGCTTCTTCGCCCCAGTCACCTATCTCAGCCAACAGTCAACTGACCCTCCACCACAGTCACCTTTCTCAGCCAACAGCTCCTGCACCACCAGTCACTCTCCCAGCCACCAGTTCCCCCACCCCAGTCACCTCTCATAACTAGCAGCCAACAGCTCCTCCACCCCAGTCACTTCTCCTAGGCAACAGCTCCTCCACCCCAGGCACCTCTCTCAGACAACAGCTCCTCCACCCTAGTCACCTCTCCTAGCCAACAGCTCCTCCACCCCAGTCACCTGTCTCAGACAACAGCTCCTCCACCCTAGTCATGTCCCTCAGCCAACAGCTCCTGCACTCCATTCACCTCTCCCAACCAACAGTTCTTCCACCCCGTCTCCTCTCACAGCAAATGTCCAACAGCTCTTCCACCCTAGTCACCTATCCCAGCCAACAGCCAAGAGGTCCTCCACCAAAGTCACCTCTCCCAGATAACAGAGCCCTTCATCTCAGTCACCTATCCAAGCTAACAGCCAACGGATCCTTCACCTCTTCCAGCCAATAGCTCTCCCACCTCAGTCACCTATCTTGGCCAACAGTCAAACAGCCCCCATGATCTCTACCTTCCAACAGCTCTCGCACCCTAGTCAGTTATTACAGCCAACTGTCTACTAGCTTCCAGTACCAATGCCAGCTAACAGTTCCTCCTCCTTAGTCACCAACCTCTTACAACAGCCACTTATCCCATCTAACCAGACTCTTCCCACCGACCGACCCTATATAACCACCGACCAGCCTCCATTCACATATCCCATTCGACTGCCACCCCACTGCAGACCAGCCATCTGTCCTAGTCCACAGACGCAGTCACCTATCCCTCCAACAGCCACCCAACCCCAGTCACACATCCCACCCAATAGCCACCCAGCCCCAATCACCTATCCCATCCAACAGCCACCCATCCAGTCCCAGTCGCCTATTCCACCCAACAAGCCACCCACCTAACCCCAATCATCTTTCTCTTCCGCCAGGTGGCCACCCACCCCAATCACTTACTACACACTAAGAGCTAGCCAGCCATCCTCTCCCCTTGAGATCAAACTCATTCCAACAGCTAACCAGCCTCCACGTACACCTCCCACCTTACCCGTAACCCCTTCTCCGACCCCGACCCCTCACCGGCCATCTTACCCCGTATACCTTCTACCTCACCCCCCTAAACCTCTCCGCATCACTAACCAGCCCCACTCTCGTGTGTGTCTTATAACCCAACAGCTATTCTGCTGCCACAGCCTCTCGCCACTCCAAACTGCCACCGTCGCTATTCCTGGACAAGCCAACGCCGGACCCCCAGTCAGCCACATTTTGCCACGTTGGGCCAGACACTGAGTTAGCTTCTGGCTGCAAGCACACAGCGGGGGGGCTGTCTCTTGAATGCTTCCCCCTCGGCCTTTGCTGTTACCCCCACTCCAGTCCTGATGTCTTTCCAGCAGCTTTAAGTCCCTTGTAAAGGGGATCTCCCTACGGTGCATGATTTTGCCATTCACACATGCCGTGTGTCCTTTCCACGTTTGGAAAGGCTCGAATCTTTTCTCTTAAACAGTTCCGGAAATAGGGATCGACGTGTTTTTATTTCATTTACAGCTGCCAGGCACTATTTATTTGTAATTATTTAGTCATGTCTTTTCAGAACTCCTTTTAGACAGTCGAGGGTGC